CGCGCCGCTGGGAGATTCTATTTCTGACCCCATACCCCTATCTGGACGACTCCCCTCCGACGCCTCGCAAGTCAAAGCCGAAGCAGCCTTCGAAGCCGAAACCCAAGCCAGAGGCTCTTCCAATCAAAGCTGCAAAGGTGGATCCCAGCCAAAAGTGGGGTAGAAGAGGGGGGGTCATGAAATTCTGTCGGGCGGTCGGTTGGTTTCCTCTCTTCTGAGGCCTCTAGATGTTGGGGATGTCGGGGTGTCGGTGAATGGAAAAAACAAAAGATGCGTCTTGGGCACATCTAGGGCCTCGCTGGCCCCCAATACGATTCCCCTCAGGTGGAGCTCGGTCTTGATGACGACGACGGCGTTGACCTGGGGGCTGAGCTGGCAGCTGTGATGGGTGATATCTGCGGTAACGATGACGACGTCAATGATGCTTCAACTGTTCTTACGTCGGATGAGATCAAAGCCGTCTCTGAGGCCGATGAAAAAGACATCCAGTTGGGAGCGGCAGCCTTGGCTGATCTAGAGTTTCGGAAAGCGTATGAGGGCGCATCTGCTGGTACATTTGGAACAGACATAGATGATATTCGAGATGCAGGAATTGCGCTTCATCTGCGGGACACAGAACCCAAGGGTGACAGCAGTGGGAGCGGTGACGGTTCTGTTCCCCACGTTGTTCCCGCCGGCGACGAGGGATACCGGCTAGCACTGGCAATGGCGAGGGCGACAGCTGCGCATGAAGATTGGCTCGGTCGGGCCGAGTTGGCGGCATCAGCTTTTCGGGAAAGGCAGGTTGCAGAGCGAGACTTGAGCGTTGGCCAGGGCAATCAAGTATCTTTGGTGGAAATTGTCTGGGATGGTAACACCACTCAATCAATCGAGTTCGTCAACTGGCAGGATCCATGGAGGCGGCGTGGCCAACGAGCCAGAGTCGATGATGCCAACTGTCTCATCTACTCCATGCTGATAGGGAAATATGCACAGCCATGGAGGGACTACTCGCACGCATTGATTATCCACCCTGCGTGCGGCATCGGCATGAGAAAGGAGGGGCAGGGGCAAGGGGGTGGGATGGGGAGTACTGATGAGCTGGTCCACGTAAGACAATCGAAGTCCCAGAAGTGTAGTGGTAGCCCCTGCAGTGCCCGTTGCCGTTGCCTCATGTATTTGCCTCTGCAGTTCCATTGGATCACGCATGCAGTGCCAGCCAGTGCCTCTCCTGTGTCTCTCTCAACTTTTTCCTGCATCTGCATCGGAAAGGGAGGTTGACAAGACGATCGGCAGGCCCGAGATCCCGCGCACTGTGCTGCGCTTGTACCGCACGGCAACTCTGGCGGCGCGTGCTCCGACAGAAGGAAGTGCATCGCTATTTCCTTGCAAGGTTTGTGATATTGCGGACGAGGGCGTTCGCAAGTGTTGTTTGTGTTTGCAATCGTATCATCGGACATGCTGCGAAGCCATTGCGGCGTCTGTTGTACCACTCGGCCTGCCAGCAGACCCCCCTCGCGGGTCAGCGTCAACCCCAGAGCGCATTCGGCAGGTGAGTCGCACAGAGCACGTGTGCGTATTCTGTAATGCAGTGTTCGGTGATGGCCCTTCGGTCGCCTGAGACAGCTTGAAACTGACGGCAAGATTCGATCCAACATCGCCAGGGGGAGGAGCAGCAGCAGCAGCACGAGGCGGAGGAGAGCCAAACTTGCCACGGATGGGGAGGAGGAGGAAGAGGAGGAGGGAGAAGGGGAGGGAGGGGGGGAAGAGGATGAGGATGATAGAAGGGAGGGTGTGTGTAAGTTTTGCCGTCAGTTGATCTCAGCTGACGTCGCGGCGCGCAAGGCTAGGCCCGCCGTGATCCCACGCCTCAGCGTTTGAAGACCGAGAAGGTCATTCGTTTGGGTGGAGGGGGCTGCTCTTCCTCCTCCTCCTGCTCCTCCCCCTCCCTCCCTCCCTCCCTCCCTCCCTCCCTCCCCCCCCCTCCTCCTCCTCCTCCTCCTCCTCCTCCTCCTCCTCCTCCTCCTCATCCTCATTCTCGTCTTGGCGAGCGTCAGGGGGTCGCAGAGCCCGTGCCAAACTTTGTTTCCCAGGGCCAACATCTCAAAGGCGGGGTAAACATTCGTGGTTTCGCGTTGGCATCCCCTGACCGCGGGGGGGGCCCTCCTCCCCGGCCCCGCCCCCCACGGGACTTCCGTTCCGAATGCATGGTCGATGCGTGGTTTCAGCTCGGCGTAGGAGCGTGGGAGCTCGGCTCCGCCAAGTTGAGAGCGCAACGCATGGGGTGCGCATGTGCGAGCAAGCCGAAAACGTCATTGCAAAACTAATAACACACTATCAGCCACATGCTAAACACAGTGCAGCATCTTCACATGCAATGCGAACTGCTGATGTGGTCATTGTGTGTGCTCGCCACAGCAAAGCGACGACATAGGCCACGAGAGGGGCTGTTGCCAATGCGGGATCAGGCTCGTCCAAGCCTTTGCTGTGAATGCCATTCGACGCTGCGGGACTTGGTTTAGCTCAAGGCATCCTGAGACTCCTCGGATCCGACAATTCAGGACCCTTCACAGAAACGCCAAACACCAATCTGGACTACTAGGATCTGCCTTCGGACCACCAGGATCTGTCAGGAGTTGCTCGGGATGCCCAACGGCCAGTCAGGAGCAGCTCAGGACTCCCAAGACCTGTCAGGAGCAGCTCAGAACGCTCAGGACCTGTCAGGAGCAGCTCAGGACCGCCAGGACCTGTCAGGAGCAGCTCAGGACCCCCATGACCTCTCAGGAGCAGCTCAGGACCGCCAGGACCTCTCAGGAGCAGCTCGGGACCCCCAGGACCTGTCAGGAGCAGCTCAGGACCCCCAGGAGCCGTCAGGAGCAGCTCGGGGCCCCCAGGACCTGCCAGGAGCAGCTCGGGACCCCCAGGACCTGTCAGGAGCAGCTCGGGACCCCCAGGACCCGTCAGGAGCAGCTCGGGACCCCCAGGACCTGTCAGGAGCAGCTCGGGACCCCTGGGACCTGTCAGGAGCAGCTGGGGGCCCCCAGGACCTGTCAGGATCAGCTCGGGACCCCCAGGACCTGTCAGGAGCAGCTCGGGACCCCCAGGACCTGTCAGGAGCAGCTCGGGACCCCCAGGAGCCGTCAGGAGCAGCTCGGGACCCCCAGGACCTGTCAGGAGCAGCAGGGGACCCTCAGGACCTGTCAGGAGCAGCTCGGGACCCCCAGGGCCTGTCAGCAGCTCAGGACCCCCAGCTCAGGACCCCCAGCTCGGGAGCAGGACCAGAGCATCTCAGGACCCCTCCCCCCCCCCCCCCCCCCCCCCCATCCCCCCCAAGCTCCGTCAGGAGCAGCTCGGGGCCCCCAGGGCCCGTCAGGAGCAGCTCGGGACCCCTAAAGCACGTAATGAGGATCTTGTAACCTCTGAGAATCAATTCTGGGAACAGTCGGCGCCCCGGGGGCCGCCATCATCAACTCGTGACGCCTCAGAAGCCGTCGCGAACAACTTGGACCCAACAACGCAGATGAACTCCTGTCGTGCTATAGGGGGGCTCAACGCCACGTTCCTTCCGTCACCTCCTTCCCGCCACCGCCTCCGCCGACTCCCTGCCACCACCGCGCTGCAGAAGCTCATGTTGGCTCGAAGTGTAAGGTGTGCATATACTTGCTTAACGTTCGGCGCGGCACTGTGTCTGCACTTTCTACGTGCTTCTCTCCAATGACAGAGGTTGTGGCGGCCTCGGGTGATGTTCCGATGCCGTCTGTGGGCCCCTGGGAGTCATGCGAGAGTTTCGACATGCGAATGAACGGAATTGAAGGCGCTGCCAGGATGGACTACATCATGTAGACCTGGGTGAAAAAACAAGGACTGTGCGCTCAAGCTGTGGGATTCAGAGGGCAACCTACGTGTCAGGCGCCACGAGTGCAACATGAGGGCCCAAAAATCAGTGACCTTGAGGTACATGCGTAACTTCCTGAAGAAAGGCCTGTTTACACTGTTCCGTGGGAAGATGTGGCACATTGCGGAGTCTCCTACGGGTGGAGCATCTCTGATGGTTGGGGGCGGTACGCTTGTGGACGCAATCATCCTGGCAAAGCAAGTGGCTCCTGCCAACATGCACGTGAAGTGGGTCATTGAGCATGGGATACCCGACACTATCGAGTTCAAGTATGGGGTTCCAATGGACGGTTTGAAATGGGTTCGGGTGCAAGCGAATCAATATCACGACGGCTCTGATACGACAGTCATTGAATTGTACGACGAAGCCGCGCTGGTTAATCCAGCCTGGGCAGCCTACCGCGACAAGCATAGCATCACAAAGAACGGGTGCCCACCGAAAGGACCACACCGTTACGACAAACAGTGCGAGAACTACGTCAAGTGCCATGCGGATTACTTCTCAACGTTCAAGTGGTCGCAGTTCGGGCACTGCTCTACGCTCCAGTCTGAGATGGAGCGGCTTGGGGTATACAACGACTACAAGCAGCCGCTGGAAACCAACATGAACTTCGTTGACATGCGCGTCAACAACATCTGCATCATCGAGACGAATCACGACATGTTGACGCTTCTGACTACGGAGTTCGAGGCTGCCAGCCCTTCAAAGGAGCTTGTTTTGCGAAGTTGGCTGCTCAAGCTGTACAATTTGTAGTTCCTCTATTGTCGGACCCTGAGAATCTGACCGAAGAAGACACTTCAAACAACGAGCTCTTGGTTCCGTGGGTATTCGTCAACAGGAGCATGGTCTACAAGCTGAATTGGCTGCAGGCGCCCATGGGCGGCAGCATTGTCTACGACCAGCTTCAAAGAAGAAACAGCAGGGCAAGAAGAGGAAAGCCACGAGCATGGAAGAGCTTCCGCCAGTGCCTGAAGATGCAGAATTGGACGCGCCAGCGCCAGTTCCAGGCCGCGGCAAAGGCCGTGGTCGCGGTCGGGGCCGCGGTCGCAAGGGCAAGGGCCGTGGCAGCCCCTCAGTGTCCAGTGACAGCGATGACTCATCGGCGGCGTCGTCGCTCTCCGTCTCCATGACGAAGCAGACGGAAGCGGGCGAGAGCACCATCATTACCAGAGACAAGTACTTCATCGACGACCTTCTGGCCATTTGTTGGGCGCCCATCAAGGATCTGAAGACCGACCAAGTACTCTGGGCCGAGATCAGCCGCGATCTGAATCTGTCCTTGCACTTCTTGTTGACTGGTTCGGCTACTTGGGAAGACGCCGAATTCCAGGCGTGGAGCAAGCTCCGGCTCCAGGTGCGCCAGGACATCATCAAGGCCCACTCTCACCTCTACAAGACCAACCCTGTCGACGATAGCGCGCTGGCAGGCTACACGTCGGAAGAGATCGCGCACGTCGCGATGCAGAAGCTCGCGGAGAAGGACGACTCGACTAAGAAAGAAGAGGCTGCCAGCAAGCCAATCGCGGACCCCAGGACGCAAGAGGCTGCCAGCTATGCGCTGCTGCTTGCGGATCGCGACCTGGTCATGGGCTTGATGCTGTTCCTCCAGAACAATGATCTGACCGCGCCGACCCGTTACCACTCAGGTTTCCAGAATATGATTCGCGAGGCGTTCGCTAAGGATTCCTCAACTACGCCGACAGTGTCTTCGTGCGTGGCTGAACTGCAGAAGATGATATCTATGCGCGTGCCGAACTCCTACATCGAATTCGCAGTGCTGGCGCAGATCGTGAGCGATCAGGACGGCATCTCGATAGACGAAGCAACCATGGGCATCTTCAAGGATATCGACATAGTGACCAAGCTGCAACACATCCGCGCCGAGTACATGATGGAGGCCGTCACCGGAGTAAAGAATCGTTGGCATGCTATGAGAGATATTCCTGTTGCAGCGTTGGAACCCCACCAGAAAAAAATCGGGGATTGCGACATGGCGATGGACGGCGAGAAGGCTTGGCCTTCTTTCTGGGAGAAGATTCTCGACTCTCGCATTGCGCAGTCTGAGAACGTAGTGAAGGCCATCGAGGACATCTCCAACGGTGTTTTGCAACAAGAAATACTAGATGCGGTTGCTCAAATGCCTGATCCTCCTGGAAAGGGTGGTGAAAATGAGAAGGACGAGGTCGAGGGCAAGGATAAGAAGGACGAGCAGATGGAGCAGAAGGACGAGGTCAAGGACGTCAAGGACACCCAGGGCCCCAAGGGACCCCCAGGGCCCCGTCGCCTTCGCCTCCTCGCCCTTGGGCCAAGGGCGAGGAAGCGAAGGCGACGGAGTCCAAGGAGTCGGCGACGGAGCCCAAGGAGTCGAAGGCGACGGAGTCCAAGGTGTCGAAGTCGAAGGAGGGCGAGGGGACTGACATCGATCCTGAGATGAAGCTGAGCGAGCTTCGGACCATGTTCAGGGAGATTCCTGCAGTACCATCAGCAGTGGAGGCCTTCATGAAGTGCTTGGAGGGTCATCTTTGGCACGCGCTTGCTGGGTCCTGCTCTAAGGAAGGAGATGCAGTGGAGCAAGGCTTATCCTTCATCGTTAGCAAGCGCCACGATGATCCCATTCGCTTGATGGCCAAGAAAGCTGACCCGTGCATAACTTTACCTTTCATAGGTCGTGTGACGAGGCTGCCATCTAAGGGCGCCCTCCCTCTGTGTAAAGTGTGGGGCCAAGACTTTTTTATCGATGGCAGTGGGTTCAACCGCTTTGACAATGAGGCTTTCATTCCTGCTTGGATGGTTCGCGTCGGTGCTGGCAAGAACGTCGTCACCACCATGGACGTGAGGGTATTCGATACAGTCTTCAACTTCAGGCACACGCCGGTGGCCAAGGAGGTTGTCGAGCGAGTGCCCATCAAGATCCACTACCTCGCGATGAAGGAGGCCCTTTTCAACCGGGAGAACGTGGAGCTCAGTCGCCCGCCAATCGTGGGCGTCGTCACCGCTGGGCAGGCATCCGAGATGAACAAGGCCATGGGGAAGGTCAGAGGCCAGAGGGCCATGGGCAAGCACAAACTGACTCTGGCAGACCCAGTCTGGAAGGCGCGCAGGCACGCGTTCAAGTGAGGTCGAGCAAGACGAGCTGCAGGTGTTGTTGGCTGGGCGGTCTCTTCTACTATCTTCAGGCTTCGGCTTCCGCCCGTCGGCCCACGCAGCCTAGGGGGGGAGGAGGATGAGGAGTGGGAAGAAGAAGAGGAGGAGGAGGAGGAGGAGGAGGAGGGAGGATGAAAGAAGACGGATTTCTGGTTTCGAATCAGAGCTGCCTGCGCGTTGAGAGCAACCTCGCAACCTCAACCTGCGCAGAGAGTTTTTAGGGCCCAGCGTTTGCACCGCCCCCTTGCGCTAGAAAGAAAGCAGGCTGGCAGCCTGGCCCCACTCAGACAGGCACAATCGTTGGCGGTCGATCCCCTACGAGCGGCCGTTCAAGGTTGAAGGCGGCCCCGCAGGCGTTCAAGGTTGCTAAGGTTTTGAACGACTTCGGCCGGTAACTCAACGTTGAACGATCCCCGCCGAGTTCCAGGGAAGCGGAGTCAGGAAGAAGGAGATTACCCAGCAAGGCAGCAACAGAAATACAGCCAACGGCAACAACGTAGGCTTCAACAAGAATACAGTAAAGTTTGTGCTCGAGCATTCGAGCAAGCGCTATGCCATCACCCCGTCTGGTGCCAGCCCATTCTCTTGGCGATGCTTTCCAGTGTGCTGAAGACAGTCTGGCTAGGGTGCTGCAATGCGATCCTTCGTTATCCATTGGTGAGCTTGGGGCCCACGTGCGTACGAGCATCACTGAGTTATCTCTGAGCACATGTTGTTCGGGCATAGGTGGGGCAGAAGTGGCCATGAGCTTTCTACGCCGAGGCGTCGAACGTTTCCTGGGCCCGTGCGAATTTCCCCGCACTACATTTGCATTCGAGAAGTTTCCGCAAAGCCAGAACGAATTGCGGATGCTGGAGCGTCCACCAGAATGTCTCTTTGGAGATGTCACCTAGCTCTTCGACCCGTCGGTGTCCAATATCTTGCTCAAGACGTGCATTCGCATGCGTCGAAAGGATCTCCTCAGAGTTGCTCGATCGGGCGGCCTGGTTCGTAACAGAGCGAAGCGTTTGATACACAACGAGATGTGCCCCTGCACACGTTCGAAGATCCATGTCCGAGGGGGGTTAAATCGGTTCAATCGACTTCGTCTCAGGAGGATCCCCACCACCCGGTTGATTTGGCACGCGTAAGTACATATGTAACATACGCACAATACAGCATAGCACAACACAGCCAGGTCGTTGGAACTCCTTGTCCAGAGTGGTCTATGCAGCGGAGGAAATCAGGTGATTCGCGTGGTCGGAAAGATTTTCTCGTCCTCGTGGCATGGGCCGCGCGCAGGCTCCTGCTCCAGGAAGATTACATCATACATGAGAACGTGCGGTTGTTCCCTGTTTGGATGCTTCGCCAGATATTCACGATGTACGATATCGAGACAGCTCTGCTGAATGTCGGCGACTTCGGCTTCCCCATGGAACGCATTCGTAGGATAACAATCCTTGTGAATAAGAGAGTTCGCAGAACCAACATCCCAAAACAAATGAGTTCGTTGTCCTGGGCTTCGTTTTCGGAGTTGATGCGCAGGGAGTGCCGCATCGATTGGAAGGCTCTTTTTCGAGCCTCAGATGAAGAGCTTTCGAATGAGCTGAACTGGGCTGCAGGTCGTCGTGCTAGCAGGGCGGGCAGTGTAACAGGGCTGAGTGATTTTGAGTGTGCTCTGACTGAAATGGAATACTCCCACCTGCAGCGGCACATCGAAATCGGATGCAGAGGCATGTGTTTGTTAGAACAGAACCCAGATCACCATCCGCACCACAACGGCACCAAGTCCAGGATCAACACGCTGGTCAAATCGACGACAAACTTCTACAGTGTGGAGCACAAGCGTTGGTTATCTCCGTTGGAGGCGATCGCTTCGATGGGGTTTTCTACGACGCCCGACCTATCAGAATTTGGAGGGGAGGGGGATCATGTTTTTGCTCTCCTTGTTTTGAACTCTCTTCCATCGAATCGCGTGGATCGGTTGGGTGGGGCCTAGGGAAAAGCAGCTCAGGGAAAGGGGGGGCACCTGCTCGTTTACGAGACGAAGAGAGGACGCTGGAATACCGCGTGCCTCCACATTGGGACGCCATGCCTAATCCGACAAATGAGACTTGCGGATTGGGCGCGTCGCCCTCGGTGTGGAGGGAGCGCGGTTCCAGCACCAAAAGGACTATCGGCTTCCCCCTCGCCGTCGTGCTGCAACCCTGGGACAAGCAGGGAACGCGTTCAACCCTGCCGTTGTGGGATACGCGATGTTGTATGTAGTGCTGGCCCGCTGCGCCTGGCATGTAGACGATCAGAGTGGCGACGTGTCTCGCATCCGTAGGGCTGCAGAGATAATCAGCAGGAGGGTGCAGCGGCGCTCTGCGTGAATATAGCAGACCTCCCCCTCCTCTTCCTCCACCTCCCTCTTCCTTTCCCCCTTCCTCCTCCAAGATATTTCAACCCAACCCACCGAAACCATCTTGACTTAAAAGCTCACGCGCCATCCTGCAGTCGACGAGAATTGAATAATATGCAACATTGCGCACGTGCAAAATGTGCAATATATGCAACATTCAAATCTCAACACAGCAAAATAAAGCAAAAACGAGATTTCGCTTATAGCACATAAACTATGTACGTTCGTTCAGCTTCTGCTTCAATTACACAGTGTAGAGAAGGAGGAAAAGGAGTAGGAGGAGCAGGAGGAGGAGAAATGACAACGAGTTCCTGTCACGAGATGGTCGTTTGGTGCTCCAGACAGAGGCTGGGGGTGCCATCAAACCCTCTGGGGAGTTCTCTTCCCAATGCACCTCCACCCTCTGCCCTTCACCCTCGCAGGCGCGGTGGAGCAGGCAACGGCAAGGGCAAGAGCGAGGGAGAAGGCGTTGTGATGAAACGGCCATCGGCTGCAGACGCATCGCCGATGAAACGGCCATCGGCTGCAGGCGCAGCACCGCCAGCAGCATCGCCGAAGCATTAGCAGCAGCTGGCATCGCCAGCGGCATCACCGAAGCATCAGCAGCAGCTGGCATCGCCAGCAGCATCACCGAAGCATCATCAGCAGCAGCAGCAGCAGCGGCAGCAGCTAGCATTGTCAGCAGCATGGCCGCCAGCAGCATCACCGAAGCAGCTGGCATCACCCTGTTCACCAATACCGAGGCTTGCAGGGGTAGACTCGCCATCCCCGGGGAAACGGAGGAAGGTCGTGGGCAAGATATCACCTGCGGCGCCCCCAGCGACAGCGCAGCATCAGCAGCAGCAGCAGCAGCAGTGCCAGGCCTCCAGGCTCTCGGTCATTAAACCTGGGCGATTCCCGATCCCGACTCTTCGCCTTCCCATCCCACTCATTCCAGCCCGCGCGTTCGTTCTGCACCCCCCCTGCGATCATACACAGGTTCCAACTTGGTCCCCGTGCCCGACTCCTGCGACTGACGGGGGCTTCCTTGCCAGCCCCCTGCGGTGAGTGAAGAGGGCTAGGGACGCGGGGCGGCGCGGCAGACAGGCCCTCCCTCTCATCATTCTCCTTTCCCGCCTCCTCCTCGCCATCGCCCCCTTCCCCTGCCCCATCTCATGTCTCATTCCCCCCCCCCCCGCCTCCTCCTCCTCCTACCCTCCTCCTCTTCCTCCTTCTCCTTCAATCTCGCTGAGGGGTCGAGGGAGGGCCTCTGAGCTCCATGGGGCAAGGCAGACAGGCATGCGGGTAGGCAGACAGGCATACAAGCGCGCAGGTTGGCAGACAGGCGGGCAGGCAGGCAGGCAAGCGCACGAGAAGACATGCAGGAAGACAGGCAGAACTGCAGCGAGGGGTGGAGGTCAGACAAGGGAGCGCGGCAAATCGTAGATGCTGGCTGCTTTGATTTTTTGATGTATTTTCACCGCGAAGATGCTTGATTGTTGCATGCATCCGCGCGCGATTGAAAACATTCATCTCTTCAGATTGCGACCCCAACCGCGCTCCACCCTTCGACCCTGCCTAATCACATCTCCCAGTGACTCTGGTACCATTCCGAGATGTGTCCCCCCTCTCGCTGTCCACGTTGTTCCCCTTGTTGTCTCTCACGCTCCTTGTTGCTTGCTTGGGCGAGCATGCAAGCAGCCTGATCACGAGGGGGAAGCGAGATCTCGAGGAGGAGGAGGCGGCGCGAGGGCTCTGATCTCATCTCTGGCCACCCCGAGCGGATGTCTGCCCAGGCCTCTCCTTTTCGCCTTACCTCTCCCCCTCCCTCCCACACCTTCTCGCTTCTCTGTTTCGCCTGACCTTTCTCCCCCGCATCTTCGCCCCCCCCTTTCGCCTCGCCTCCTCTTCCCTCCCTCCCTCCCTCACCTTTTCGCCTCCCCGCTCGTTGCCGACTCTTTCTCGACGCCTCGCACCCGCCCTTCCTCCTCGCAGCCGCGCGAAGGGCAAGGTGGGCGATCTCCCGAACTTCACTGAACTGTCCCGGGGCGGCCGCGATGTCCAAGGCTGAGGACAAGACTTTCGAGGCGCGCGCTGCGGATGGCCCTCCTGAGTGGTTGATTGCTGGACGGACGGTCACGAAGCCTGCGATCAAGTAAATTTCTCGACTTCCTCTTTGGCTCTTCATTGCTCAACCCTCACTCTGGCATGCCGATCATCCTCCTCTTCCTCTTGCCCCTCCTCCTCCCCCCCCCTCCTCTTCCCCCTCTTCCTCGCTCGTTGTCTCTTCCATCCCGACGCCGCGCGCTCCCGCCAAGGACACCCGCAAGGCGATGCCGCAGAGCAACGCGCTGGCCCGCGCCCAGCCGAGTCGCCCACGCTGGTCGAGGAGGCGCGACTCTTGCCAATGTTCTTTTCCCCATCCACTTCTTCCACTTCTCCTTTTCCTCCGCCTCCTCCTCCTCCAACCGCAGTCTCAAGACGCGCCCGCGGTCACCGAGTGTGAGACGCAGCCGGCGAGGGCGGAGGAGCTTCAGGATCGACGGGGTTAACAGTATATTCACGTCGATCTCGGTCATGTCCATGAGACTTGTTGGGCTCGTGCGCCGCC